AAAAAAAAAAAAAAAAGTAAGAGTGGAAATGGCCAAGAGATGGAAGATATCCAAGAGAAAATGATATTGCTAAAGTTCATCAACAGTGTTACAGTTTGCAAGAGATAGCCCTGGATTTATTGATGAAGTAAATTTTAAACATATGTTAGTTTGCTTAAAAACAATAGTAAACCTATTATCAGTTAATGGAAATGTTTATGAAAATAACTAGTTTAAAAAAATTGAGAACAGTGGCAATGTTTTACATTTTAGGAAATCCCTTTAATATCTGGCTTAATATAATAGAAAACCAATTAAGTTCACATAACTCGTTCCTCCTTCAATCTGTTTTGCTAGTACACGTTATTAATATACATCCTCTAGAAAACTCCATTATATTATCATGAGAGAAGTGCATGAAAAAACATATTATGAAAATAGTTTGATCTTGCAACCCCCTGAAAGGTTTTCAGGGATTTCTAGGGATCTGGGAGCCCCACAGAAGGAGAGCTTGACAATACTGTAAACCTCATAAATAAGGTCTTGCTGTCATAATGAAAAGTAAGCTAGATAGACTTGACTGAAGCTTCTAGCGCTATTTGATGAGAAGTGGAGGTTGTTTCATTGACATTACTCTCTAAGGTTAGGAATGAACTCTACAACATTCATTCAATTAATTCATTCAGCATATCTTTACTTAGCAGATATCATGTTCTAGGAAGTACTCTAGATACTGAGGACACACCAGTAGACAAAACAACAATTCCTTGCCTTCGTGATACTTCTAACAAAGTAGTAAAATATATAGTGTATCAGAGGGTGGTTAAGTCCCATGCAGAAAAACAATGTAAAGACATCTAGAAATGCTGGAGGGATTTGCATATTTCAGTAGAACGGACAGGGAAGACCTCGTTAAGAATGCAACATCTGAACAAAGACCTGAAGGAAGTGAGGCCATTTGGATAACTTTTGAAAGAGCTTTTCCAGCTATTGAACAAATTAATTTCCTAACATTCAAAATTTAATTTATATGTATTATTTAATCAAATATCTATTGTATATGACATTAGCTGCAGGTATAAGGAAATAAGAGACCTGATGTTTATTGAGTGCCTGGCATGTACCAGGTACTGTGCTAAGTATTGTGAATGAGGTTTGGTACCTTCACTAAGATTTACAAGTTAATGTAGGAGGAAAGGTGTAGACATACACTTTCTGCAGTCTGGGTGTAGCAGTTCCTACGAGGAGGAAGAGCTGGCTTGAATTTGTACCACCAGAACTTCATACGCACCTGACCTACCTGAAGTCTACACCTTCCTTTCAAGATAATTAGTATGTTGAGGGTGCTCTCCACTCTAACAGAGGGGAAGCCAGCAAATTAATACCTGATCACACCTTTTAAAGAACACTTTGGTTAACAATCTGTCCTCACAAATTAACTCATTTAATCTTCATAACAATAAGAAGCAGATGTTCTAAGAAGCGTTACTGTGTCTTTCTGAGATTAGGAAAGGCTCAGAAGGCTGAATAGTATGACAAGGCAGTTATAAGGTAGAGTTGGACCTAAATGTAAGATAATCTGCTTCAAGCACACTGCTTTTCCCACCGCAGTGCCGCTGTTACGAGCAGCTGCTGAAATAAAACAGCTTGATACTTTCCTGACAGTCCTCCCACTGACTCGAAAGAAGGCGTAGGTTGAGGTTGGGGAGGAGCTAGACCCCATGAAGTCAACAAAGTCACACGCAGCGTTCCCCACCTGCGCTTGCGCAGGGGAGGAACACGCAGTCCGGAAAGACGCCGGAAATTCTGGGTTGCGCAGCCGTGGAGCTACCTCAAGGCGGAACTGGGGCGTCCAGGGCTTCGGCAGCCTGAACACCCGGTGTGAAAGGAAGGTGGCAGCCGTGGAGCGGCGCGCATGCGCAGCAGCTCCCCCTGCTGAAGGGCTGAGAGGCGCACCGGGGCAGCCAGCTGGGCTAGAAGCGGAGTGGGGTCAGGATGGACGAGGACGTGCTGACCACTCTGAAAATCCTCATCATCGGCGAGAGTGGGGTGGGCAAGTCCAGGTGAGGAGGGCGTGCGGGCCGTGACGAAGGTGGTTGGGCTCTTTCTGCCTCGGTGGCTGCTGTCTCCTGGGCCGCGACAGGAGCTGTAAACGGCGGTAGCAGGCGCAGGCTGGGCTCGGGCCGGCTCAGCTCGCGCCCTTCTGGGCCTTTGGGCCGCGCTCTCCTGCGGCGTCTGCGTCCCTCGCCCACCCGCGCCTGCCTGGTTCCCGGCCTCTCCCAGGCCTAACTTCTCAGGGTCGCTCTCCCTCCTGTGGCGCCGAGAAAACACGATTCCAAGGGCTGCCGCTCGGCCGGCGGGTTTGCTGCGCGGAGCTCAGGGCGTGGCGGGTGGGTTTGGTCCCGACTGCAGCCGGGGGGCACTTTGCCTGGAACCCCTCGGGGTTCAGGATGCCTGACACCCCGAGACCCGGGAGACGTAACTCTCCCACTTGAGGGTTTCTGTGGGGCCTTCTCTAAATCCATAATGTCCTCGGGAAGTTTCGTGACGCCTTAGGTCCCATTCCTGGCCTGTTTGGGCGCAGCTTCATGTCGCTTCTCTTACTTTTTGATTACTTGGCTGTGAAAGAACTCGTGGATCTTGTGATTGCTGGAAAATTTCACTTTAGTGTAAAGTCCAAGTGTTTCCGCTGTGGACCACCTTTGATAATGAAGTGTAATTGATATTTCTCATTTTGCCACATCCTATGGAGACAAAAAATTAGTATTGTTTTTTCATTTTTGACTTTTGCCTTGGGGAAAATAATGTTGACAGTGGAGTTAAGTGTAAGGTAAGACATGGATCTAGGTGGATGTTTCTAGAGGGTTGTGATTTCATCTAGGTCTTGGAACAAAGTTCTCCAGGTGAAGTCATTCTTGCCATCTGATTATGAGTAGGTTATGTTCAAGGCCGTCCTAATCCTTAAACCACATATACACTCCAGGGGCTGTAGTCCGTTTCATATTTTTTTAGCTATACCTTCTGATACGCAGACCTTTCAAATAATTTTTTATATTTTATAAGTTGAAGTAGCCTTCATTCTGCAAAATAGAATGAAAGCTCTCCTCAAATAACTTGTAAAAACTACTTCATAAAGCCTTAATTTTTAAAAAGCTACTTCAGAATTTGAAAGCTTACATAATATATTCTGAAATTTTGTGTATTTTTGAAGTTTGACAATACATTTTTATAGTGTTTCTCATTTAATGTACTGTGTGTCTACTGGAATGAAGGATTTGCACATACCAAGGGATAGAATAATGAAATACTATGGGTTAGCAAACAAGTATAATTTGTGTGCGAGTGTGTGTGTGTGTGTGTGTGTGTGTAAAAGGAATGAATAAAATTATTTACAATGATCATCTATTATTGCACATACATATTTAAGGGTTAAAAAGTAATGTAGTAAACATTGTCTTAATAGGAATTTCGTAGCCTTGTGATCTTTCTTTTTCTTTTCTCCTTTTTTCCTTGAGATTTGGTTCTCATTTAAGTTCACGCTTACGAAATTAGTGTCTTGGAAGTCAGAATGGCTGGTTGTCATTTCATGTAGTTCAACTAAATACATGGTCCGTTAGCACTTTTTCTAAATGTATTGCATGGGTGACAAGTTAGGGTGTGTTAAAATTTTCTGGAAGGTTAACTGGAGTATATGAACAAAATTCCTCTGCTTTTTTTTTTTTTTTTTGAGACAGGGTCTTGTTCTATCACCCATACTGGAGTGCAGTGGCATGATCATATAGTTCATTGCAGTCTCAATCTCCTGGGTTCAAGCGATCCTTCCACCTCAGCCTTCTGAGTAGCTGGGACTATCGGCACGAGTCATCATGCTTGGCTAGTGTTTTTTATTTTTTATAGAGAGGAGGTCTCACTGTGTTGCCCAGGCTGGTCTTGAACTCCTGAGTTCATCAGATCCTCCTGCCTTAACCTCCCAAAGTGCTAGGAGCATAGGCATGAGCCACCATGACCGGCCCTACTTCTAAAATTTTTTTCCTAGATGGGATTTCTTATGTTGCCTAGGCTGGTCTCAAACTCATGGGCTCAAGCCAACCTCCCGCCTCATCTTCCTAAAGTGTTGGGATTACAGACACAAGCCATGATACCCAACCGAGATTCTCCTTGTAGAGTGTAAGTGGATTTATCAGTCTCCCTAGTTCATGCCCCCAAAACAAATTTATGTGGGCCTAATATGTTTTAAACTTTTTCCTCGTACATAGCGATGGATTATCAACTGCTCCTGCAAAATTTTGATACTTTACCTCTTTCTGGAAAGGATTGCATTTAGTGAGAAAGTTGTCTTATTTGTCTAGCTAGATATACATTATTGGCCTATGTGATATGCTGTGGAAAACAACCTTAAACACTTACGTTTCTGGATAAGATGAGAATAAGTGACTCTACTAAAATAGAAGTCTATGCCTTTAAAAGTGAATTAGTACAAAAATATTTGTCATGGTTATGATCTTAAAGTCTTGTTTCAACCAAGTTTCTTTCTGTTTCATTACAGAGCTGAAGCTAGTGGAAGTGAGATAGCACTTGTGTTGTTGGGAGAAAAAGGATATCTTTAATCCGAATTAGTGGATTACTTTCTAGTGTATTTCATAGTGTTAGAGTCTAAAGGGTATGTGATAGTAGTCAGGAGATCAGGATTATGAAACTGGGGCTGCCATTTGTGTGACCTTGTGTGTGATACTTGAATGCTGTAGGTCTTCAATTCAAAAGCCAGGGGGCTGGAATAGAAACCTCTCAGACCCTAAATGTATAAGACTCCGATTCTGTGGCTAGGCCTGGTGAGCTAAAGAGTAGCTGAGTGTATCAAGAACTGGAAGGGATTAGAGAGACCTATTATCTAAATTGCTGTCCCTCCTATGCCCCTTGTCTTCCCATTCTTTCTGGTGAATTTCATTTGTAAATTAAAAAAATGCAGATTAGTCATAATCACATTCTGTTTATTATAAATTTGGTGTATCTAAGTGCCGTGGTGGTAGTTACTCCTTCCATCTCTACTTCTGAATGGAAAACATTTTGCTCTTTTAACTTTGAGAGTATGAGGGTGTAATTATACAATACTATAAGAAAGGTGCTTGGCTAACGCCCTTTTTGTCCTTAGCCCACCTGCACCCAGGTGAAAAAAAAAATGGTGCTTTTACCTGGTGCAATGCCTCATCCTGTAATACTAGCTACTCAGGAGGTTGAGACAGGAGGATCACTTGAAGCCAGGAGTTCCAGACCAGCTTGGGCAACATAATGAGACCATGCTTCTAAAAAAAATAAAAATAAAAAAATTAGCCGGCTGTGGTGATACACACCTGTCTTGCCAGTTACTTGGGAGGCTAAGGTGGGGGGATTAGTGAGCTATGATTGTGCCACTGCATTCAGTAGCTCACTAATCATAGCTCACTAATCCTCCCACCTTAGCCTCCCAAGTAACTGGCATGACAGGTGTGAGACCCTGTCTCTTAAAAAGCAAAGAAAAGAAAAGGGTCTTCTTAATTATTTTGACATTGTCAGTTCCTTTCAAAATCTAATAGAGAAATGGACTCTCTGCCCCTTTCAAAGTCTAATAGAGAAATGGATTCTCTGCTTAGAAAAATGCATGCATAGAATTTAGAATAACATTTTGGGATACCAGAGTACCCCTGGTTAAGATCTGATGTGTACCCAGAGCTGGCATTAAAATTTGTTGCTTCACACCATCCCGCCAATTCCTTGCCTCTCCTGACAAAGTACCATTAATAACAAGGGCCATTTAAGGATGAGCAATTACGGAAGAAAAACCTCTGGCTTTGTGTCTGCACATTGCCATATCTTCAATAAATAATACCCAATATCATCATCATTATATTATTACAACTAGTCTACAAGGTTATGTTAACTTATGTTTTTGTAATAATATTTTCTGTGGTGACCACATATAGATATGTATCTTTTCTATTCTTAAATTATGGGTAACTAAGTGTGTTGGGAGAGAAGAACATTTTTATAAGTGGTCTTTAAAAGTCTTATTTGTATTGTTACCTATGTTCGAAGTAAGTAAATATAGTCAAGATGTTAACTAATGAAATGTAGAAGTTGACTTTTCTGTTTTACTTTGATTCTGTGGTTCTGGTTTTATGGTAAACACAAGAAAACAAAATCAAGTAAGGGAGAGTTAATCCTTCAAATATAATTAATGACACTGGGTTTGAAAACTACCAGGAGACCATAATGTTTTGCAGAAACTCTGTGGACAAAACATACCTCGACCAGCAATAATCACAATCTATAAAAATAGTCCTAAGATTTTTCTGTAATTTAGACATCTGATGCTGTTTCTTTGATTTTATTCATGCAAACAGGTCAATTAGGACAGTCTTATACTTTAGAAGTTAATATGAGGGAAGATTGAATGACTTTAAAACCAAGGGCTTTAACAAAAGATTAGATTTTACTTTTGAAGAGCTTCTAATAAATGACACTTCTCCTTCATAGTAAGTAAAATAATTCTGGAAGATGCAAAATCTTAGAGTACTCTTCTAATCTGGTGTCTTTTGCGTTTCTCCTTCCTTTCTAGTTTCTTACCATTTCCTAGGTTCAGTCCTTTGTTCTCTCTCGCCGTAACTGTGGCAGTTGTCTTCCATTGATTTTCTTCCATTTTTTTGTTGGCATGAAGTTTTCCAAACAAAGAGCAGTTCTTGTCATAACTTTCTTTAAAAGCCTTCAATAGCTCCAGTTGCCTACTTGGTTTTACACACCCTACCTAGTGTTTGCCCAGTATTCCTACTCTGTCCTATGATCTTTCTTTTTACCTCTCTTTTTACTGCATCTTTTCTTCTCACTTAGGTAGTAGCCATACTGCATGTTACAGAATGCTAGGCTTTGATGTATTTCTGTTTTTCCTTGAATTCAGAGTGGGTTACACAATCAGATTTCTTAAAGTTAGTTTGTTGCATTCCTAGAGACTATTTTTTTTTCCCTTTTCATCTATGTCAGTTAAAGCATGACATGCTGCTAATATCATTTTCTCAAAAGGACATAGCAGAACAGTTAAAAAAAACCCAACAACCCCCACCTTTTGTACTTGGAGGATTGTGTAGGAGAGCATGGGGAATATATTTAATCGTAAACTACTTTGCTCTTGGGATTTTTAAATTGCCTTTCTAGTAATTTAATTCTTCTGTGTGTACCTGCTCTGAGGCAGTATTCCTAGGAGCAGGCCTATTTTTATCTGCATCTAATAATTTGTGACCAAATATTCATGAACACATTTATCATATGATTAGAAAATTCAGATTCCTAACTTGTCTTTTTAATGTTTCTTTCAGCCTGCTCTTGAGGTTCACAGATGATACGTTTGATCCAGAACTTGCAGCAACAATAGGTAAGTGTATATTTAAAAATCGTATAAAAATGGCCAGTATTTTCTTGCCTTTGGCCTTTTAAATCTAAATCCTTCCACCTTCCTCTCACTACCGCACTGCCTCCTTGTCTGTTGAAATTTTACTTGTCCTTCAAAACTTAATTTTGGTATCATTAAATCTCTGAAGCTTTTCCAGATCTTACCAAGATAAAATAACTTCATCTGTTGTCTCTTGCCACTTTATTAAAACTACTGATAATGTGATTATCTATACACACATTTCTTTCCTGTACTATGGATTCTCTTTTATTTTGCACTATACAACAGTTACTTGAATACTTATTGTGTGCCAGGCACTGCTACTAAGAGGCGGGGTTATAATATTGAATAACAAACTTGGTCTCTGTCATCATGGACCTAAAAAAGTGTGTTCATTTTGTATATTCAGCATTTGCAACAGTGTTTGACGTGTATTCTTATCTTCATATTTGTATTGATATTAGTTATTAAGGATTGTTAGGAGCAATGATACTTAAATGCCTTTTAAAGATAAAATTTAGATTGCCTGAAAGTGGTAGTCACACTAATTTATGAAAATATATGAGAAGATATAGGTAAGTATTTTGATATCACGTGTTTACACTGTAGACAACAACGTAAAGGTATGAAGAGACTAATTGGAATAGTTGAAAGGTAACTGAGCTGAGTCAGAGCTAGTCTTAGCTTTGTCTTGAATTAGGTGTAATCTTGATGAAGTTACTTGACTTACTAACTTCATCTGTAAATTGGGAGGTTTTGGGGAGAGAGAATGCTTTTTTTTTTTTTTTTTTTTCAGCTTTAAAATTTCATGATATGAGGAGAATATAATAAAGATGATCCTAGCATTGTTGTTAGGGAAAATAAAGAGTTTCTCTTAACTGCCTTTATTTGTTTTCATTTATTGTATGTCTATTTTTAACTTTTTATTGTGAAAAAATTTCAGACTCACAGATTTGTAAAAATAGCACAAATAATTCTTGTGTATCCTGCTAAATTACTCTAAATTTTAATGCTTGTTACATTTGCTTTATCATTCTCTCTCTACATACACACAGTATTTTTTTTTAAAAAATGAATAGTTTGAGAGTAGATTGTAGACATGATGTCTTCAATGTCTACATACTTCAATGTGTATTTTTTAAATGAACATAGATACAATTTTATTGTCTATACACAGATTTTATCAGTTGTCCCATTAATGTCCCATAAAGCAAAAGACAAATAATTGTTTTGGGTCCAGGATCATACATTGAATTTAGTTATTTATCTTTAGCCTCTTTTATTTCATTTAATTAACTAATTTATTTATTTTTGAGACAGAGACTTTGCTGTTTCACCCAGGCTGGAGTATATGGTGCCATCTCAGCTCAGTGCCACCTCCACCTCCCAGGTTCAAGTGATCCTCCTGCTTCAGCCACCTGAGTAGCTGGGACTGCTGGCTTATGCCACCATGCCTGGCTAACTTTTTTGTATTTTTGATGGAGACAGGGTTTACCATGTTGGGCAGGCTGGTCTTGAGCTCCTGACCTCAAGTGATCCTCCCACCTCGGCCTTCCAAAGTGCTGGCATTACAGGTGTGAGCCACCACATCGAGCCTCTTCAGTCTCTTTTAATCAGCAATTCTTCAGCCTTTCTTTGCCTTTTTAGGGCCTTGACATTTTTGAAGAGTAAATAATTATTTTATAGAATGTCCCTCAATTTGTATATGTCCAGTGTGGCCTTACAGTTAGATTCAGGTTATGCATTTTTGGCAAGAATTCCACAGAAGTATTTTTCAGAGCACAGTGTCAGCAGGCATATGGTGTCTGTTTATCCTATTTACTGGTGGTGGGACTTTGGTTACTTAAGGTGATATATGCCAACTTACTTCTCTGTGAAATTACTGTTTTTCCCTTCATAACTAATATTTCTTTTGGAGAGATACATTGAGACTGTATAGGTATCCTCCTTATACTTTCTGCCCCCTTGTTGTAGCACCCATTGATAATTTTTGCCTGCCACAAGTGATAAGGACAGTATATGATCTTGTCACTTCAACTGTGATGGTTATCAGATGTTGATTTTTTTCAAATGCTATCACTCTGTCTGCATATCTTGTTTGGAATTCTGTAAGTAAGAGCCCTTTTTGTTTCTTTTTTATGTAAGGCAATGTCTCGCTGTGTTGCTCAGGCTGGCCTCAGATTCCTGGGCTCAACTGATCCTCCTACCTCAGCCTCCAAAGTAGCTGGAGCTGCAGCCATGCAACACCATGCCCAGCTCACAAGGAGCTCATGTTTGTTTGTTTCTTTTACTTCATATAAACTCATGGTGCCTCTAAATTTTAAATAAATTATATTAGTCTTAGCTTTTGCATGATATTAGCATTTACAGATTTACTCTTACTTGGACATAGGAAAGGGAGTCATTTGAAACACTGTAATTCAAACTCCATTGTAATTTGGTTTTGTTGTATAATAATAATAATTATTATTAAGTTTAATTAATTTGCTTATTTTGAGACAGAGTCTTGCTGTCTTGGCCAGGCTGGAGTGAAATGGCACAACCTCGGCTCACTGCTGCCTCCACCTCCCTGTTCAAGCAATTCTTGTGCCTCAGCCTCCTGAGTAGCTGGGACTACAGGCATTCACCACTACACCTGGCTAATTATTGTATTTTTAGTAGAGACAGCATTTTGGTATGTTGGTCAGGCTGGTCTTAAATTCCTGGCCTCAAATGATCTACCTGCCTCGGCCTCCCAGAGTGTTGGGATTACAGGTATGAGCCACTGTGCCCAGCCTGGTATATTATTTACTCCTATAAAAATTACTTAGTGGTAAAACCTTATTTTGGTTAGAACTTGCCTGAGTACATATTGGTAATGGCTACCAAGGAGGAGAGCAGCAGCAACTGGTAGGAAAATTAACTTGCCTAAAGTTCAAATTTTACTGAAGGAATGAGCATATATATATATATAATATTAACTGTCTTCATTACAAACCCAAATGGAATTTAGGGGCTTGTAGCATGATAAATTGTGGGTTGTCTTTATTAGTAAAAAGGCTTTGTCTTCTGCAAAGACAAATGCTAAGATTATAGCATGCTGGTGAAAATATTTATAATTTGTTCCCCAAACAGGCCCTGGACCTTGAATACGTTGAACAAAGTATCTTTTACAATTAAGCATGAGATTACTTTCTGCCTTAGGTAATAACCAGTATGTAGAGTTTTTTTGTTTGTTTGTTTTTGAGGTAGAGTCTTGCTGTGTTGCCCAGGTTGGAGTGCAGTGGAGCGAGATCTTGGCTCACTGCAACCTCTGCTTCCCAGGTTCAAGTGATTCTTCTGCCTCAGCCTCCCAAGAAGCTGGGATTACAGGTGTGTGTCACCATGCCTGGCTAATTTTTGTATTTTTAGTAGAGATAGGGTTTCACCATATTGGCCAGGCTAGTCTTGAACTCATGATCTCAAATGATGCACTTGGCTCAGCCTCCCAAAGTGCTAGGATTACAAGTGTGAGCCACCACGCCCAGCCCACACGTGAGTTTTAAAAATAAAAACAACTACTTAACGGCCTTATGAAAATTAGTGTTTTATGGAAAATTGGTATTTTACCCCACAGTAAAATAGTAGTAAGGAAAGTGTACCATTATCTCTCAGTAATTTAGTGAGACACTTAAGTTTTTGTCTTGTATAAAATACTCTTTTAAGATAATTGTTGGATTTGGGATTTGCAGATGGTAATATAAAGTTAGAATTTTTCTTTTGTTTTTTGGCAATTAGCTAAAAACAACAAAGAGAGGGAAAAACTGAAACACAAACCCAGCATCCCACTAAACTAGAAGACAGTTAAAAACCCAAGCCACAAAATAGGTGGGATTGTTGCCAGGAGCAGTGGCGATGAGGCCAGCTGCATGTGGGAAGAAGTAGAGAGGATGCCACAGCTGTGGAGCTCAAAGCCAGCAAGAAACACCCACGAAACTGCAGGCCTCCCTGAGGTACAAAACCTTTTGTTTACAAAAGTGAATGGGGTTTTTTCCTGTCATGGCAGGAGCCTTCCTGCACCTGATTTGATCCTAAGAAGTCGGGGAAATGAAGCCAAACAAGGAGCCTCATAAACAAGTCATTTTTGCAGGAAGTAATATGTGTCTATCTCTATAGCAGTTGGGGAAGAGATGACTTTGCATTGTGAAAAACCTCCAGACTCCTGTCTGCATTGGCTCTTGAGAAGTAAAACACTAAACTGAATCATGAAAAAGTTGTGTCAGTCCAGAACTGGAGGCACTCTGGCCTTCTGTACAAACCTCCTACAAATAGCAGGTTCTGGACAACCAGCACTTCTTCAAAGATGAATAATCGAAACAGTTAAGCTCGACTGCCACAGATGTTTGGAAATCAAAAAGGAAGAAAGAAACAGAGAAACAACGGACAGATGAAGAACAATCACCTAAAATATTGCCATAAAGAAGATGAACATTGTGATCAAACATTTTGCCATGAGTTTAGAAAGCTTAATGAAGTATTTACTGCTGAGAGCACAAAGCAGTTGATATAAGAGGCCAGGGAAGAAATAGTGTGGTTGCATGAGAAAATGCAAGCTAAGCTGATTGGAAAGTGGAAAGAAAAATAAATGAAATTAGAAAATAAAGCCATTACTGAAATGAAGATGAAATAGAAAGGATCACACAGATAATAGAGAACTCTGGAAAATACTGTAAGAGACAGAGTCTAGAAATGGGAAAAGCAGGTGAGTTTACCAAAATTAATGAAAATGTTAAATGTTAAATTATGATAGATATGGAAATCAGAAAAGGAAATCCAACATATGCATATTTGCGACTCAGAAGAAAATGTAATGAAACACAGCAAATATTTAAAAATGTAGTACAGGATAACATTTCTGACATAAAGATAAACACTCACACACACAAAATTGCAAGCATTTAAAAATTTTTTTTGATACAGGGTCTTTTTCCATCACCCAGGCTGTAATGCAGTGGTACAAACAC